GGGGGAGGGCGCACACTCAGACTCCAACGTGGACTGGGGAGCTGAGCTTGACCAAGGAAGAGAGTGAATGGATAGCACCTCAGAGCCTAGCAGGAGGAGGGGATGGCCCTCCATTACCCTGTAGCCAGCAGGCCGGCCAGCCAGCCTTTGTTTCCATAGGTCCCATGTAAACATTGACTTTGCTTTTATATGTCCCTGTTCTTCCTGATTTCCTACAGAACCTCCCTCACTTCCACTGGAGGCACTTGGTTCCTTCCTTCCCTTCTAACCTTCTGATGTACAGAGTGGGGAGGTGAGGGGGACAGAGCCCATCTCACCCCTTCTTCTAGGGCTTCATGGGTCATACGGTCTCTATCTCTACTGTGTGCTCCAAGTTATGGCCAGATAGGGGCGGATATCCTTCCCCAGAGCAGGGACAAGGCAGGTAAATCATCCTGTACCAGAATACATTGGTCGTGATGGGCCATGCTTTCAGCACTGAGTAGCTGGGAAGAAGGCTTCAGGAGGCAGGAAGGTGGGGCAAGTCTGGTCTCCCCCTCACAGGGCTGATGGTGAGACCAGCCCTGTACTACCTCCCCTTCAGGTAAGCATGACCATTACCACCCAACAGTCTTGTTCATTGCGGCTATGCTGAGGGACCGGCACCCATGAAGCAAGAGGTCTTCTCCAGGCCTTGATGTAAAGGCAGGACTCACACCAGCTCATCCAATAGGATGCCAATGCTCTGAGTGGCCTCAGAGGGACCAGCGATGGGCTTGTTACACATAGGGCAGACGCAGCGTACTTCCAGCCACTTCACCAGACACCTGTGGACAACAGAAGACCTAAGATACCCCAATCTGCTCTGGGTATCTCATAGAGCCCAGCTGCTTCTCAGACCCAGACCATCCCTCTCCTTGACCCAATCTAGCCCCTCCAGTTTGCCTGCTGCCCAGACAGGATGTGGGACATTGCTAACAAGGGGCAGATGGGAGGAGGTAGGGACTGGAGGTTCTGAGAGATTCTTCCTACTTATTTCTTTTAAAAGTTCCCCCTGGACACAGATCCCCACTGTGGACACTTACTTGCGGTGAAAAGCATGTTGGCACGGGAGCACACCTAGCTCATCCTTCCCCTTGAAGTCTTCCAGACAGACTGCACAGGTCTGCTGTGAACAGAAAGGGGGCAGTGTGAGAGGAGATCGGCCCAGAACCCCACTCTCCCATCCTGGACACACATTATCATCTCAGCCCCATCTAAGAAAACAAAGTTCTGGCACAGTTGCCTTATCATCGATCCAGAGAAACATTAGTCATATTTCATTAATATATGACAGTATGGTAGCCATTAACAACATGTGACTATTTAAATTTAGATTAACCAAAAATAAAATGAAATGTAAATTTAAGTGCCTCAGTGGTACTAGTCACATTTCAAATGCTCAGTGGCCACAATGTGGCTAGCGGCTCCCACACGGGGTAGAGGACATTTCTGTAATCACAGGTTTCTTTGGGCAGTGCTATTCTAGAAGAATGGTTTTTCATGCTTTCCAACCCAGTACATTTGACAAGGGGACATGTACCAATAACTCCAGGTAAGAATGAGGGTATGGTGTATGTGCTCCATTACATTCTTTAAATCCAGCCTGATGTCCATATATATTAACCCCCTCAATCTCAGCTGAATTACACTTCTAGAGGAGGGCTTAGGAAATATCTGAACTTGCTGAGATGTAGTAAGATATCAAAAACTGAGACAAGATTCGGCCATTTCTAGTAGTCTTGTGTCTAGTGGTATCTGTGACGCTCCGTATTCCAGACAACCACAAGCACACTTTGTGCAGCAGTGTCCTGGTTATGGAAGGAAGCCTTGGGCAATGAGTCAGGTGACCTCAAGGCACTGGTGGGGAAGAATAGGAATGGCCTATTCCTAAAGAGTTAGTGTTGAGGGGAACCCCAAGGACTTGTTGGGTGTGGGTAGTGATGAGGGGACAGGAGAAACGATAGGCATGGACACACTAGTCAGATCCATAGTCAGCTAGGACAGAGTGTATATACAAGGGTAGAAGGACCTTCTTTTCTTTAGTGAAAATCCAAGAGATGGGGTCTGAACATGGGAAAGTGAGCTGAAACCTGGCACAGAATAGTGTGACTATCATCCCCTTAAAGATCACGCCTAACAGGCTTCCTGGGGTCATGTGTCACCACTTATCCAAACCCTTTCGGGATCCCTTTGTTTCCTGCCTGCTCTGGTTCCAGATATAACAAATTCCATATACTGATTACATGCTGGGATGAGTGACTTATTTGGCCCAAGGAGATTGGAAGGCAGAGACTAAAAGAGTCTCTGAAAGGCTCCAGGCTATAAGCTGGAGAAGGGGCCGTCTGCTTTACCCACTGGGGCCCTCCCTCATGCTGTCCCAGTGCACTCACCCCATATAATTGCAACTTCTTGGCATCACCTTTAAGCACCACCTGGGGAGAAAGGAGGTGGCATGGTGTCAAAAGAAACCAACCTTGGAGGCCAGGTGGCATCAACCAATGAAGGAAGTCCCCAGCTCTGCCCAGGGTCAGTCCCTCTCCCTCCCTCCCTCCCATAAAGGGGAGGGCTCTGGGCACTGCCCAGGCCTGCCAGAGAGGGCCAGGGGGGAGGCTGAGGCGGACTCCAGGCCAGGACTGCTTACGCTGCTTCCCCTCTGTCCCTAGCAGGGCAAGAAGCAGGGGAGGAAGTCTCGGGGAAAGACGTGGTGCTTTACCTCCTTATATCCATATCGTTCACTCTGTGCCTGGTTCCGCAGTTTGCTGAGGGGAAAACAAGGGGAGGGAGAGAGAAGTGGTAACTATGCCTGGGCACAAACAGAGCCATTCAAAGTAGGAGAGGCAGGCTGGCTGCCTGGTATCCTTCTGGGGGTGAGGAGGGTGCTTCCCACAGGGTTGGTTCATCCTATAGAGATCATGGGGTGTGGTTTGGACCTATGCAGGTCACCCAGAGTGAATTAAGGACTCAGGCTCAACAACCTCAAAATTAACAGCAGGTCCCACAGATTGGGGGGTTCTCTGGCAGAGCACCCCAATTAAATCACTCACTCTCCCTGCCATTTCCCAGGAGGTAAAGTCCCACAGGCTCCCACACCGTATAGATCAACAATTACTGAGTGTACAGAAGTTAGATATTCTTAAAAGGGCTATTTCCATTAAGCGAGGGTGGCAGGATAAATACGTCTCTGTTGACCCTGGGGGATTTTCCACTCGGGAACACAGTATTCTGGAACCAGAGCACACTCTTCCCTCCCCGTGCCAGGAAAATACAGGCGAGCCCTTCTTTGTTTTCTTCTTTTTGTTTCAAGCTGGTGGCCTGCATGCTGCCTAACTCTCAATGGCCAAAACCTGGCGCATTGTCACTAAAGGCAACAGCTTCATTGTTACTGAGGACTTGCTGTGCACCCGCCCACACACTAACATATTCACATACATGCTCATTGATTCCAAACAGCTTTAGGAGATGCTTTCCTTTTTACAGATAAAGGGAAATGAAATCCAGAGAAGTAAGGTGCCCAAACTTCAGAGATAGCTGGCAACAGTGTCCGGATTTGAAGGAAAATCTATCTGATTACAGAGCCCGAGCTCTTTAACACAAAATGCGGCCTGTTTCACCAATTCGGTGAACACTCGTCAGGGAGCCTGGCCAGGCCGTACATGCCTGGAGCCTCTTAGGAGCTCCAGTCCAAGTGGCTCCTGCCATGGGGTTGAGGCCTGGGCAGTGCATCACTACCCTTTCTCTTTCCTCTTTGGAGGGTTTTTGGTCAGCACAGGGTTGGGCTAAAGGCCTATGCGGGGCTCCCAAGGTCCCTCCTTCACTTAGCACTTTCATTTATTTACTCGCATCTCTGTCACCTCTTCCCAGTGAGAGGGGCAGGGAGGATGCATCCAAAGCTTATGCCAGCCGTTAGCTGACTGACACTGGGGTAAGCTGAGGAAGGGAGAAATGTTCAGTGGGTGTGCTGATGGAGACACTGTCACTCTTACCAGGTATGTGCAGCACAAATAAGGAAGTGGTGAGGAGTCTGCTTCTTAACCAGACAATGAAGGGATGCCGCACATCCTGTGAGCCTCAACTGCACCACGGCCATTATTATGTGGTGTGTGCACTGCTGTATTGTAGGATGCCTGAGGTGCCTTCCTTTCCCACTCTCAGCCCTTTTGGCTGCTGGCTCTTTCTAATGGTCTTATCCAAGGAAACTCCAGAAGCCTGACTCTCAGAGCCCAGGATGCTCAGAACATTGAGGAGTTTTAGAGCTGCACCTTCACCCTGCATGTAGATTTATGGATCAGCAAGGGACAGACTGTGATTAAATGGAGGCAGAAAGGTTGCAAGGGAAACAAAGCAAAAAACAAAGACACTGGGCAATCCCAGCAGGGGATATAGTGCCAACAACTTTGGACAGGTGGCCTTTTCAGCTGTTGGGTGAGCAAAGGAGCTAAAAATACCCTGATTTCAATGACACCATTTCCAGCCACTGCCAGTGGGCTCTCCCTCTGCTTCTTTTCCCTTTTGAAACAAACAATGCAGCCAGGTCCTGAAAATAATTGTTCCTTTCCTGCCCACGTGTACTTCACTGGCCCGGCCATCCTGTGCCGGGCAGGGATCAGCCCTTTGGAGGGTGGGGGAGAATCAGCGAGGGGGAGCTGCGAGTGGAGGCTGGTCTTGGCCGCTGAGCTCACCAGGTCACGAGCAGGGGTCATGGGCCTATTTTGGCTGAGGAGGAAACTAAGAAGCAGGGAGAGGAAGTGGCTTCTGTGCTCGTGTGTCTTTCTATATATAGACACCCACAGGCTGCCACACACCAGCGAGCTTCTGGAACCATGAGACTACAGGGTCGGCAGGCTCTGAGCAGGCTGCGGAACAGAGTGGGGAGTGAAGGGGCAGATGACTGCGGAAGGGATAGATGGTGCCGAGCAGCCCCTCCGTGGGGAAAGCTTTTGGTATCACGTGGTTCTGCTGCTCTGCTTTCAGTCCAGCCAAACAAAAATTAATCAGCCAAACAAAAATTAGTCAGCCATACCCAGCTCCCAGCCTCTCCTTCTGCAGGAACCCAACCTCTAGCTGCAAGAGGGTGGCCACAGACGCCATGACTACCCCTCCACTCTGCATTCAAAATCAGAGAAGGAATAAGATTCAGAGAAGGCAAACATATGGAACCTGAAAGACTCTAGTTCACTGTCACCAGACTAGCCACCTCTATATATTCTGCCATATATGACCTTGGACACATCCTTAACTGTCTGAGCATGAACTCCCTCATTTATAAAGTGGGCTCAAACCTAAACTGGAAGGATATTCTGAGAACTAAGTGAGCTAAATATTCTACCAAATGCTAACCATGATGCCTGGCACATAGGTGGCACTTGGTAAAAACAGCTAAAAATCTAAGGTCATACCTATTAGTGGAAGAATTAGGAAATGAACTCTGGTCACCCACTTACTGGCCCAGAGTGATTTCCTAGGATTTCTTCACTTGACCACCTTTGCAGCTTGGTGCATGCGAGTGCCTGTGTATGAGAGAGACAGAGACACAGAGAGAGACAGAGACACAGAGAGACACAGAGAGAGACAGAGACACAGAGAGAGAGAGAGAGACAGAGAGAGAGAGAGAGAGGAGGGACCAAGTGGCTTTACAGACTCCTCCCAGCACCATACACAAATCTTTGGTATTTGGAATGTCTCCATCTTCAGTCTCTGGGGAACTGCATAAATTGCTTATATGAGGAGATGGGGATGGTTGATGGTCAGGAAGATAAGAAAGTTTGAGGAACAAAACTTAGGTTTGGGGAAAGGTGGGGGAGTGGGGAGATACCAGAAATCTATCCTCACCTCCACTTAATAGTGAGATGCAAATTTTATACTCAATTGTACAAGAGGAAAAAATAAAAGCATTTACAGAATATCGAGGCTTAAGTGGAAAATTCTAGACCTAGGGACTTTTTAGAAGTTCTGAGAAAGAACTGAGAGCACAGGGGAGCAGGGCTTGCGGGTGCTTCTCAGAGGGAGGTCGGAGGTCTTCTAGCCTTAAGAACAGGAACAACAAGCACCTTCTCTAGACTCCTTCCAGGTAAAGGACTCAACCCACCAGAACACCTCAGTAAGAAACCAGAACACCTGTTTCCTCCTTCTTAATTTAATCTTCTTAGATGATTTCATCAAACACTAGCCTAGACTCCAGCTGATGTCTACGCAGGCACTTGGTCATATGGAGGGGTGGGTGTAGTTATCACAATGGCTCTAAGGACCAATAGCATGTTCTGCTTGTCAGAGGTGCTCAACACTCCCCAGTATACAATGAAGAATTGTTAAGACCCCAAGTGTGCTCTTTAATTTTCAGAAACTACTTTAATTTCCAGTCTAAATTCTAGTTGTGCCCCACATTTTTGGTAGAAAACAGCCACCAGTTCCCATGTCTTATCCACAGGAGAAGAAACAGTTCCTGGAGAAGTTCCAGTCCTTCCCTAAATCCCTACGCAATAAGTGAGGTTTTCAGTTTTTTCACTCAAAAATAAGAGCTTCCAAGGCAGAATAAACAAACAGCTCTCCAGACATCAGCTTGCTAATATTAGCATCTGGTGGGCTGACAACAAGATTTCCCAGGAGGGCAGAGGTACGTGCCACTGGTGTTAACTCATGCCTACTTATCCCCAGCTACCCAGGGGGTATGAGTGGGGAATAGAGAGACAGTCAAAGGACCATCGATGACATCACTTGGTCAGACAGTAATTCTAGGCAACCTTAGCATAACTAGCCAAGAGGCAGGATGCAGCCCAACCCATGGTGACCTTATACACTCTGGGATAACTTGATAGGCTGATTTAAATAGAAACACCAGGCCTCTGGGGCCCAGTAAAGGCCTGGCTAAGACCTGTCTTTAAAGCAGAGGCACCAGCTGGAGGCTAGTAACTGCTGTGGGAGCCTCCCTGGTGTCACCCTACCTCTGGCCTCCTCCCCCGACTCCCATCCCAGGTCAGCCAGGAGCCACCCACCTGATGAAATAACAGCAGAAGATGAGGCTGAGCATGAAGACAAAGATGCCTGTACCAAAGATGACCATGTAAATGTTGAGAGGAAGGTCTTGGAAGCTGATGGGTGGCATTGAGCAGGACTTGTTAGTACTAACCAGTCCCAGGCCGCAGAAACACCCTGCAGAGAAAGGGGAAGGAAAAATAATATTACAGTTGGAAGTGTGCCTCTGGGGCAGATGGTACTCTGTGTCAGCAAGGATGGAGAGAGAACTGGCAGGCTCTGGGCTCCTAAACCTCTGATTCAGGGGCATAAGTTTATATCCTAATATTACTAGCTATGTGATCATGGGGAAATTAGCCAATCTATGAAATGAACTACTACTACACACAGTACTTAAAACAGCATCCCCATGTAGGAGGGTCAAGGCTTTGGGCAATGAGCAGAAATGGAAATACTTCCATCAGTTAGAGCCCATATGGTGCAGTAGCAAAATGAAGAAAACCTTGGGTGAGAAAACATACATTTGGGTTCCAACTCTGTCTCTCCCTAGCTATGTGACCTTTATGAAGGTACTCCTCTAAGCTTCACTCTGTTATGTGAAAACAATGAAAATATAAAGAGGACCATTAAGAAATATGCTTTATAAGCTGCAAAGTGAAATTGCGAAGGTCATTTGTCATTATGAAGCCACCTGTTCTAGGAGACAAGCTGCAATACGACCAGAATAGAAATTATTCATCCCAAGCCTGGGCCAGCTTTTCAGAAAGTGGGGGTAGGGGAGTTGCAGCTTACTTTTACTGGCCACTGTACTCCTTTCTACTCAAAGCCTCCCTATGCATTCTCTTAGTAGCAATGATGTTCCCTGGAGCTTGTTTGAAATGCAGAATATCGGCCCACGCCGGAAGAAATGAATCAGAATGTACACATTAACAAGGTCCTCAGCAGATTCCTACGCATTTGGTGTGGGAAACACTGGCTAACCAATAGACACAGCCCCTTCTCATATGACTTTAGGGGTAAATCCTGGTTGGTCTACCAATCCTGGCTGGTCACTTTCCCCTTGCCTGGGTTTGGTGTTGACGCAGGTGTGTGACAGGGTTCTGGCCAATGAAACAAGAAGAATGTCTGCTGGAAAAGGAAAGCCTTTTCTTTGTCTTTATCATGTCTGCTCAAAACACCTGCAACAGTGGCAGCCAAGTTACAGCTGGAGGAAGAGCAGTTCAATATGAAGCGTGTGCCCGAAAAACCAGGGAAAGAAAGATCAGTTGAGTTGCTAGATTAGCCAATCCTGGAGCCACACTCTATCTTGGGACTACTGGTTCTGACAGTTAGTAAATTTTCTATAATGTTTAACCATAAGGAAAAGAAGAAGAAAAAAAAAAGACAGGATATAAGCTGGTTAAGTGTTTATTCATGCTTGCAGGCAAACATACCACAGTGATCCAAAAGATAAGCATAAACTTCTTGTGTTCAGAAAGCGGTGAGACAAGAAAACTAGAATCTACCGTATACCTGCTACATCCCAAGCACATTCTCACCCTTCTAGTTTAATCTGAAGACTCAATCACTGAACTGTCTGTAGTCCAACAGTTAACAAGGCCTGGCTCCAAAGGCCTCTGTACTCAAGTCCTCAGCATGGGTTTTAAGAACTTTCCTGACATCTTGGTTAGGAGCCAGAACCCATTAATATATATTTCAGAATTCTACATTATAATTAGCAGTGCTACCACAATTCAGCAGGAGTCTGGCTTGAAAGACGAAGTCATCTTTGACATCGTACTTCTCATACCTCTTCATCCCCTAGATCGATCTAGTGACCATATAACGAGCCTCCCTTCCAAACCTCTTTCATATTTTGTGCCCAATTCTATTGCCAAGTCCCTATTCCAAACAGATTTTAGGCCTAGTTCTATTCCAAGTCCCTATTCCAGACGCCTAATGGATGTCTAGTCCCTCCTCTAATTTAGCCCACATGTCTGTCATAGCCTCCTACTCAGTTTCTATCATGTATTTCCCAAACTCATGACTGGTTTCAAGTCCTCCTAACATGTGTGCACTGGGTCCCCTCTCAACTTCCCTTCCAACGTCCTCCAACACTGCCCCATGTGGGCCAGTCTCCTCACTATTTCTTGCCCAACTTCATATTCACCGCCTCCAGACCTTTGTTCATTCAGCTTTCCCTGCCTGAAACTCCCTTCCTTCGGAAAGTCCACCAAGCCTGGTCTTTGTGATAGTCCAGTGGCCCTTCTCGTCCCAGAATTCTATGTGCTCACAGCTCGATCACATGTTCTGGCTCTTGAGTACTTTAAACTGTCTTACGTTGCCCGCTTGTTCCTGGCACCAACTTAACTCAAACATACATCAAGCATTGATTATATGACAAGTACCATGATAGACACTGAAGAGAAAATCAAGGAAAAATGATTAGATGATTTTATCTTCTAGGGAAGAAGGCAGACACAACCGTTTTCACCACACAAAATGAAGCCCCACAGCAGAGGTGCAACTATAACCCTAAAATCAGATAAGAGACTCCTAACAACCGGAATGCCCCAAGGTCTGAGGACAGCGATTTGGATATTCTCCAGTGCCTAGCCTAGTGTTTGGCTGGTTCTCAAAACCTGGGTACCTTTAGCAGAAGCTCACACTCAAAAGTAAGTAGACTGATGTTTGGGGAAATTGCCTAGCAACTGTCCTTAGCTAATGGATGACCAGTCAATGAACAAGTATTGTTAAAGGCCTGATTTATGCATTGATCTTCTAGGGAAGAAGGCAGACACAACAGTTTTCAACATACAAAATGAAGCCCCACAGCAGAGGTGCAACTATAATCCTAAAATCAGATAAGAGACTCCTAACAACTGGAATGCCCCGGTTGTGGGGAAACAAAAGGAAGTAATTCTTGTCCTGAAAGATTTTTTGATTAAGCTGAAAACAAATAATTAGCCACTAAACTTTGTTATACCCAACAGGAAGCCCTTGCTTCAAGGCTCCAGCAAGGTTTAGAAAGGTTTAGAAAGTTCACACCACCCACCACCCCTCCACTCATATATTTGCTCTGTGGGCCAAAGGAAATCAAATTTTCTTGAAGACATCATGGTGGACTCAGTCTATTCTGGAAACGAGCCTTAGGACTTCCCTTCCAGGAAACTGTGTCCTCAGTATCAATGAAGCTTCCTTCCCAACAGGAGCAACTCCTCCCCTCCTCCCCAGCACTATTTGATGGTAAGAGGGTCTAACCTCCAATCTCCTTTGGCTCTCCCTGCATTTTTTATGGGTTGGATCCTGGGATCTTTAGGCTCTCAAAGAACCTCATTCAGTTTCCTATTCTGGGAACCTGCAGAGAGGGGTTACAGTAGCTATTGCAGAGGGTATGTGTGTGCACTTTGGCCTCAGCAGTCCTCTCACCAGTTTATCTTAACCATCTAACCCAGGATTGAGTCACTGAGCTTAGGACTCCTATGTGAGAGAGGTTGTTGGTGAGAAGAGCTTCATAGCCAAGAGACAGTAGATTTGCTTGTATAACAATTAAAAAGAAATGGAAGCTATATGATGGTGAAGTTTTTTCTCTAAAAGTTGGAAGGACAGAATACCAACCCCAGGAAAGAGGGGCTCCAGATATTTTTCAAAGGATGGGGAGAGAGACTGCTTCCTCACTGGAGTCAAAGAACAGGATCTCTCAGTCATTTAAGTGAACTGATAAAGCAGCGTGTCCCCTGCTGGCCTAAGAACCTCTATGAAAGGGGGCTGTCCAGAGGAAAGGCCAGTGTGACGGAAAGGCCAGTGTGACTGACAACCCACGGGGTTCTTCTCCTGAAGTCTGTTCCGTTGTCTCCGCCAACCTACGAAAGCCCTGACATCAGAATGTTTCATCTCCATGAGTGGGCTGGGAGCAGGAATAATGTCAAGAGAAGGGCTGGCCAAGAAAGACCAGTGAAATCTGGGAAATGCTCCTCCTTCCCAGCCCAGGGAATCTTTCCCAGATGCTGGGATGCACTGTCCTTCCTCACCCCCCTCCCCAAGTGCCCGCCTATCACACAGCTTGGTTCATTTTCAGGAAATCAGATACTACTAGAAAGAGGAAGAGGGGGATGGGGGACACTTACACACGCTGCCCAAACCTTGCCTTAAAACAAAAGCCTCTTGAAATAATTAATCTCAGGTCTGAATCTGCTCTCAGAATGAATTGTTCCTTGCTAACCAGCTTGCCACATTCGGAGATAAGACCGGCTGTCCCCCACCCCCAACCCTACAGGCTTTGGGACCGTGCAGTCAGGAACCCAGGACCCCCGCAGCGTATTCGTGTCCGAGCTTTGGAACTGGCTGCTCAAACGGCCCTCGGTTCAGGCAGCTTGGGCGAGGAATCAGACCCAAGCCCAACCTGTTATCACTGAAAAAGCCTCAGATGAGAGACATTTAACCTCAGATGAGATAAATTTCGCGTCACCCAGCCCCGGAGGAGGGTGGCGGCTGGAGAGCGGGGTGGGAGGGGTGAGCGGGTCCGGAGGCGCGGCTGCACCTCGGAGGCTCGGGAGCGGAGCGCGCGGCTCCCCAGGGCAGCCTGCGCCCGAGGGCAGCGGGGCTCCGAGGTCCCCGCAAAGCTCCCTCAGGTCCGTAGAGCCATGCTCCTGAATCCCGCGTCCTCACGGGCACAACGCCCCAGAGCACCCAGGGCGAAGCCAACAAAGACGGAGGAAGCCGGCCCCGGCCGGCCCGGCCGCACGCAGCACGCTGAAAACCGCCCGCAAAGTTTCAGCCGGGAACTTGAGCTCCCTCTAGGAGACCCAGCCCGAGCGCGGATTTCATTCTCCGCGGACAACCAAAACAAAGAGAGGAGCGGAGCGCACAAAGGCCGGGAAGGGGCCGGAGCGCGGCGCCGCCACACAAAGGCCGCGAGCCCCGCGGCTCCCACGCCCCCGCGACCGCCGC